GAACTCCGTCTCCAGGAAGAGCAGCTTGGCGAAGAGGAGGCGTCCACTCAGTCTTTGCAATCTGCCTTCGCTCTTTTATTCAGTAAAAATGGAAGAGGTTTTTGTTTTGCTCTTAAGCTTTCTGTTCCAAACGCAAGGTCTGGGACCACTGGGCTTTTGTTCTTGGTCGTTGAAAACGGTAGCATATGGGAAACCTATTCACTGAATAGTGCTCACCATCATCATGGGGAAACGCGTGAGGAGGATTGATGAGACAGGTGGGGGCCCGGGCTGCACCTGAGGCTCAAATCCTCATCCGGGCTTTTATGGTATCTCCTCTGACGATGCGTGTGAGGCGGGAGGGAGGGTACCCCTCCTCACCTGCATTAAATGATAGAACAGTCGGCCCGGCCGGCGGGGCTCTGTGGTTGAGGGTCAACCTATGAACCAGGTAGGAGGTCACAGTTCAATTCCGGTCAAGGGCACATGCCCGGGTTTCAGGCTCAATCCCTAGTAGGGGGCGTGTAGGAGGCAGCCGATCTATGATTCTCTCTCCTCATTGATGTTTCTCTCTCCCTTCTTCTCTGAAATCAATAAAAACATATTTTTTAAAAATGATCAAATAATTGGAGGTGTTTGTAAATAATTCAGAAGGGTCTGAACTAGAATTTGTCTTTTAAGTCAAATGATTCTGGAGGCTTACTTTGCCTTATTTTAAGTAATTAAAACAATCAGGGCCGTGGTTTTTACAATGCTTTTTGAAAACATGGAGCAGTTATCACAAGCATTTGATGACCCAGAATTGCAGTCTTAGACCTTTCTCCCACTCGTAAGGGTGCATACCTGTCTTCAGTACTCCCCAAGACGAGCGTATGCTTATAGATTTGTTTTCAAACCTGTTTTCAAACCAAACTTTCAAATTGGAAAAATGTATATCTCCCCTTAGTTTAGAGGACTGCAAACCCCAGCCATGCAATTACTTCTTTTTGAAAAACTACTTTTCTCCTATTGGGAAAGTTTCGGTGATCATGTAATTACATGTGGGAGATGAGAGAGAGAAGGTTACACAGCAAACACCTCATTGTTATTCCTTCAAAACAGCATTGATATTAACATCTGTGCATTCATGAGCAAGCCAGAAAGTGTGAACAGTGAGAGAAAAGGAACATTGAAGAGGAAAAATATACTTTCCTATTTGCAAAATTTCAGTATGTTATTGTGGAAAAAAAACCACATCAAATTTTAAACTCTGAGAAGGACCTTCATTGTTTGCTTTGAATTAGAATCGCCAATGCATTGATTATAGACAAATGCGTTGTCTGTCGCAGTTGAAATAGCTAATATGCATATTGGGAAGCTTTCATGAAATGACTAATGAAGCAAAGAAATCTGTTGGTTTCCCCCCTGTATGTTTAACGAGGTGTGCACCTTTGCATGCATTGTAAATATTAGTGCATTTGTATTACATTAGAAGCCCGTAAGTATGGCTTGAATACCATTTCTTGAGTTTAATTGGGGTACGTTGCCTTGTGAGGATCTTCATTTGCCAGGCGATGTGAGTTTAACGGGCTGTGTTGTACACGGTTTTATTGTTATGGCATGCAAATCAGGACCGAATGCCAGCGCGTCCATGAGGCCGCGGCGTGAAGTGTGGACCGGAAAGGTTCCAGTCGCTTCGGAAAAGGTCCTGTCACCATTTCCGCTGTAAATCACTCTGCCAAGCTTCCGAGAAGGAAACTTTGGAGCTGACACTGGGGATACGGAGCGAACCCGAAGATGTTTACGAAATGCGGGAGCCTCTGAGGTTGACTCCCGAGTGTCAGCAGCACATCCGGGAAGGGAGCCACCTATCAGGATCCAGGGCGGCGGCGAGTGCTTTGCTAGTGGAGGTGCATTCGTCCTTGTCCTGGAAAGCAGAGCCCTGAGCGGCGTGTCTCTGTGCCCTTGACCAAGGTCGCCCACGTGGGCAGACGTGGCAGCTCAATGGAGGAGGAGGTGGCCCAGGCGCCCAGACCTGGGAGCCGTCCCCGTGCCGAAGGGCTGGCCATGGCGAGGGAAAGGGGGGGTGGCTGACAGAGAGGAGGCAGAGAGCAGAGGAGGTGAGGCTTTTGTTTCTTCATCCACCTGCCTCTCCCTCAGCACCTTCCCCGCGGGGACCTGTCTCCAGGGGGCGCCGAAGGAGGTGGCTCTGGGGAGGGGCGATGGCCGAATCACTGCCCAGTGGACAGAGAGGCGGGTGCACGGACGTGCCTGTGTCTCCTGCAGAGCGTGGGTGAGGAGAGCCCCGGCTTGGGGTCCAGCCACACCCTTCTTCTCCGAAATCAATAGAAACATATTTTAAAGAAAGAATGTGTAGGAGGCGACACTCACAGAGCATCGTGCACAGCCCCCCGGACACCCCAGGTCCCACGTGGCCACGGGTGGACGAGCCCGAGGAGGAAAGAGAACGCAGGAGACGCAGGAAGAGGCAGCTCCAGGGCTCCCGGGAGGGGCTTCCGGAAGCTGCGGGTGAAGGCGGAGGCTGAGGAGAGTGGAGGCTGAGGAGTTTCTGCCTCGTTTGTCAGGGTCCCTGGGGCCGGGGAGCCAGTGAGCAGACACGGCGGGCACACAAACGGGAGAACAGTGCCTTGCGAAGGGGCCAAGGCAGAGGAAACCCAGCTACTGCTGTGGAGCCAACAGTCCTCCCCCCCCACACCCCCGATCTGGTGGAAAATAGGTCCGATTTTCTATGGAAACTGCGCGTATTGTTTCACCTTCATGTGATGTTTCTATGTTCGGAAGACTTGGATAAGCAAGGCATTTATGGCTCCCCAAAGAAAGGATTACAAAATGACAGCCTTCAGAACATATTCCCCTTTGCAAACGTGAAGTCAGCAATGGCCACATGAGCTCTGAGAGCATGTGAGCTTGACTATGTATATATGCACGTGTGTGTGTTGATTTTAGAGAGAGGAAGGGAGAGGGAGAGAATGAGAGAGAGAGAAACATCAATGATGAGAGAGAATCATGGATTGGCTGCCCCCTGCACACCCCCCACTGGGGATCAAGCCTGCAACCTGGGTATGTGCCCTGACCGGGAATCGAATCGTAACCTCCTAGTTCATAGGTTGATGCTCAACCCCTGAGCCACGCCGGCTGGGCTGGGCTTGACATTTAATGCCCGAGTCTCCGTGTCTACGTTTCAGGAAAACTGTGCCAATCCCACTTTCAATCTATTTATATTTAGGTGCAAAGACCCTGTAAAATATGCATGTTGCACAATTAATGAATATTTAATAAACAGATTTTCTGAGTTTAAATGTCTTTGAAAATTACTTGGCTCATATGGGTTTTTTTCCTTCTTGATATAATCCCAGTAGTGTTAGCAATGATTTGGTTGTTTGCCAAAATCTAACCCCTCCACAGGTAATTGACAGGTATTCACCTTTGTTACCTGGCAGCTTTTCTTCCTTAGAAATGTAGGTTGTCTCGAGGTGGAGCTGTTGGATGGGTTTCCAGGGCGGCTCCCAGCGAGTTCCCGAACCGCCACTGCCTGTACAAGGGCCCAGGCTCGGAGAAAATGGGAGGTTGATGAGGTCGCCTGCCTGTGACCCATTGGAAATTCTATGTTCTTCACCTTAATTTCTGATCTGCAAGCTTTCTTGTAATTCAAATTTTTTTAAAAAAATCATTTTATTTACTCCAGAAAGAAACCTATATATATAAAGGCCTGAGCGACCATTCAACCATCCGACTGGTAGCTATGACGCACACTGCCCACAAGGGGGCAGACACTCAACGCAGTAGCTGCCGAGCTGTAGTGACTTGGCAGCTGCGGTTCTCGGGTGACGCACCCCGGAACCAGAGAGGAGGGAGCCGATTCCAGGGTGCATCACCCAAGAACTGCCCTCTTGCAATCTGGGACCCCTCGGGGGATGTTGGAGAGCCGGTTTAACCCCGATCCCCACAGGCCCTGCCGAGGCCCCCACCGGTGCAGCACCAGGCCTCTAATGTGATTATAAAAACTAATTGGTCTGAGAATTGTCATTCTTTAAACGTTGGATGACCCCCCACCACCCACCGTCTGCTGCCTCATTTCTCGGTGAACAGACCCCCGGACCCTTCGGAGAGATTTGGGGGTCGCTCCTCTCACTTCTTCCTGTCCTGTGCCCGCCATCGGGTCCCGGCCGACTCCTGGCCCCGCGTCCCTGACATCCTTCCTGTAAAGGGGGTTCTGTGTCCCCAAATCCGTGACGCTTCTCTTGCCTTACCCCCTCGGCGGCAGCAGGCCTCCACTGGGGGGCGTGTTTCGAGGTGACGCAGAATAAACTTGGCCAAGGGACGCCAAGTACCTTTCCCAGACCTGGAAGCCTTCCGCTGTGTCCGTGATGCTATTAATAAACACTGTATGTCGTTGCATAATTTAGACAGCCCTTCCCCTCACACAAATATATGTGATCCCCTCGACCGCCTTCAGCGGTTGGCAAAGTCAGTATTGTTTTCCTCTTAAACATGAGAATGCCGAGGGTCAGAAAAGTGAAGTCATGTGTTCAAGTCTTCAAAGACAACGGAGGGCCCCGGCCCACGTGGCTCAGTTGGTGGGGCATCGTCCTGTGCACGGAAAGATTGCTGGTTTGATACCCGGTCAGGGCACATGCTCAGGTTGGGGGATCGATCCCCGGGGTAGGGGGGTCAGAGGAGGGCATGTGCAGGAGGCAACCAGTCGATGTTTCTCTCATATGTATCTCTCTCTCTCTTCCCCCCGCATCTCCCCCCTGCCCCTCTCCCCCTTTGCCTTTCTCTGAAACATACCCGCAGGTGAGGATTAAAAACAGATAAATGAGGAAGTCTCTAGTACAAGGCGGAAGTCCCACATCTCATCCTTTGCTTCACTTAGAATCTGTGTTATTGAATGGCTTGTCTTTAAACGGATGCACAGCTAACCTCGCCTTGTACTTACCATTGAGCACACACACATGTAAAGACCATGTGCCCTGGTGTGTGCAGTCGTATCTGAACCGTGTTCTCTCCTCTTTCTGAAGGTCCTCATCGCGAGCATCATGTGCAGCTACAACAGGAACGACTGGATGGAGCTCGCCAGCATGGCCGAGGTAACGCAGTCCTCTCTCTTCTGTTTCTTCTCTTCTATTTTTATCGGCTGTAAATAAAGAGCCGCCGTGGAAAAGAACCCGGTGGCAGCAAAACTGAATGGAAAATGGTAACTCAAAAAAAAAAGTTTCTATTATCATGTTTCATTAACAGGATGGGAATGGAAATTTAAGTACTCTATCCCATAAAAGTGGTCCCTGGCATTTCACAGGCTGCCTAGAAACCCTTTCTCCTTTGAATCCATTTCCTCTTGATTTGCATAGAAAGCAAAACCTATATGAGGATGGATGTCATGATAACACATAAAGCCACCCTGGAGAGGCACACTGGATCTTACCTCGCCTTCAGGCAAGCTGGTGTGACAGTAGGGAAGAAACTGTGAATACAAAACCCTCGAATATTTAAAATGTAAAAGGTCCCGTTCGGTACCATTCTCGCGTGAATACGGACAGGCCTGGGATGGTGGGACCCAGGCTCCTGAGTGGGCACGGTGAGCGGGGTTTCTGTAGTGTCAGGGACGCCTGCCCAGACGCGAACAACTCCCCACAGGCTCAGATTTGTTTTAATTTTATTTCTTTAAATATATTTTTATTGATTTCAGAGAGAAAGGGAGAGGGAGATAGAAACATCAACGATGGAGAGAATCATGGATCAGCTGCCTCCTGCACGCCCCCTACTGGGGGATGGAGGCTGCAACCCGGGCCTGTGCTCTGACCAGAAATCGAACCATGACCTCCTGGTTCATAGGTCAACGCTCAGCCACTAAACTACGCCGGCCGGGCTCAGATTTGTGTTTTAAACAGAAAAAAAAAAAATACATAGTTAACATTATACGCTATCTTGAAAGATACTCGAGACAGATTTAGCTGGGGTTTCTGGAAACCGCTCAGATAGGAGAGTAAATCTGACCCCACTTATGAACTAATGACTCTACATCATATTCAGAAACGTGGATCGTGCAGTTTATTTGGACATCTCAAAACTGTGAGGGGAAATTACTTCTGGGACTCGGGGGCTGAAATTAGCCGTGATCCGTAATCGGCTCCCTGAACTTGGGCGCTGGGTCCATTTTCTACATGTATTTACCTAATTGAGCGTGAAATCCTCCATGGAGCCCGTGCCTGGCGTGAGCTCGGCCAGTGTTAAGCTGACCATGATGAATCGCTTTACACGCTGCCTGCGTCCCGCCCGCCCGTACAACAGAGGCCATAAAAAAGAAGTCCTTTGGTCGGGAGCCTTTAAATGAGCGAGTTTTACTTGAAGAAGTCAAAAGCCTTTGTATTAGTAACACACTAACCGGCTTAACGATGTTTGTACACATTGCTCACATTTCATATCTATTGCTTTTTTCTCCTAAATATTTTTTTACTGATTTCAGAGAGGAAGGGAGGAGGAGATAAAAGCATCAACGATGAGAGAGAATCATTGACCGGCTGCCTCTTGCACACCCCCCACTGGGGGCCGAGCCCACGGACATGTGCCCTGACCGGGAATAGACCCGTGACCTCCTGGTTCATAGCCCGCTGCTCCACCACAGAGCCTCGCTGGCCGGGCCTGAGCCCTTCACCGTTGTTAAATGTATTTACACTTTTCCAAAGCAACCCTGTGAGTCACTTCCATGGCGTTTCACTGGTTAGAGATGAGGGAACAGGGCAAAGGGGAGTGAAGGAATCTGCCCCAGTGCACACGGCAAGGACGTGGGAAACGTGGATTCAAACCCATGACGTCTGGCTCCAGAGTCCACACGACTCACGTACACATCCTTCTTCACACGGAAAAGTGGAGGGGGAGCGGAGGAGGCGCGCCCTTGGGGAGAGCACGTTGTCTGCCCCTGCCCTCGCTGAGTGCCGCCCTGTGCAGGCATTCGGGCGATGCAGAATCAGCTGGGCGCAGCGACTGCACCCAAAGGCTCCTGACTAGCCGGGGTCGGGGTGCACGGCATGCCCAGTCCCAGTTAATTCGCCATCTCCTGCTCATTCAGCAGTTCAGGCTCCCGGCGTGCATATGGCTGCTTAGAGGGGAGCGCACTGCCCGCTCAGGCACCGGCGTCTGTGGGAGCAGCATCTGAGCAGAGGCCCAATGAGCACCGCCCGTCCCCGGGTCACCTGGGGCAGGGTACCTGTTTCTAGACTCACAGGCTCGTGTCAGAGCCTCTCCGGCTGTGTCCGCTCGGCGGGTGTTCGTGTATTTCTAGAATACTGGGGAACTTTCTAATCAGTCACTGAAGAAAACTTTAAATTGGATTGGTGATTTTACAGTATTTTATTTTTAAAATTATTTTAAAATATATTTTTACTCATTTGAGAGAGGGAGAGAGATAGACACATCCATGATGAGAGAGAATCATGGATGGGCTGCCTCCTGCACGCCCCACACTGGGGATGGAACCTGCAACCCGGGCCTGTGCCCTGACCAGGAATCGAACCGTGACCTCCTGGTTCATAGGTTGATGCTCAACCACTGAGCCATGCCGGTCAGGCTACAAGATTTTAACTTAAAGTTTAGAAGGCTTAAGGATGTCACGTTTTCTTAACATACTGTCCCAACACCAGCCACAGACTAAGGGATCTCTATTAAGTCACAGGAGTGAGTGAGGCTGAGGGCTCAACGTGCTCTCACATGGCTGGGTCCGTCACCCTCCCCTCAGTCGCAGGCTGTGGGACAGGGAGTGGGGCACTCAGACTCCTGGTGCCTCAGTTCATCTTCTGTGAAATGGGAAGAACGACACATCCTACTGAGAGAGCCTCGCACAGCGTCTGGCCTGTTGCTCATGGCCGTCATTGCTGTGCGGGCTAATTGTCAGCGAGCACTTGTACTTTAGGAAATGTGCATCAGGTGAATAATGTTAGCCGGTGCCCCCTAAAGCTTAGGTATTCCAGAATGCTGGTGAATTGATTTGCTTTTTTAAATTGCTGCGTTTCAGCTCAATACAGCAGTCTACAGGAAATATTTGAAATAACTAAGAGATAATAAGGAAAGAGCAGCCGTGTATATAATTGTACTGCGCCATCTTTTAAGGAAGCTGGTGATTCCACGGGACGTGTTTGGAGACGGGACCTGTTCCTACAGCCGGCACAGAAGGTTGGCTGACTTGCCCAACGCAGTCCTTGGCCGACCTGGGGTTGAACTCAGTGTAGCCAGTTGTGTGCGGCCCATGATTACTACCGAGCCAGCAGGGGGAAAATGGCATGATTTAAATAGCGTAATTTCCAAATAATAGGACGCGTTTAAAACTGAATTAGAGAAGCAAAAGCCACGATGAGACCCTGTTAGGAAACAGGCTGAGTGAGCAAATGAACCCTCCCAAGTGTGCCGGAGCAAAAGCAGGCTCGCCGATGAGTCGAGATGGGTGCGAGGTGGCTAACCAGGATTCGTGTTCGGTGAGGTCCTCCTTAACATTCAGAAAGCAGGGGTCGGGGGAGAAACAACAGGCTAAAACCTGAGCAATTAGGGAGCAGGGCCCCTGCACTTGGAAAGCAGTGAGCTTTTCTCAGCCGGCGCCTGGCTTAATAGACTTGTTGTAATTGTATGAAGTTTCTAGGTGACCTTATTTAAAACAAAATTGTAGCCCGGTCGGCGTGGCTCAGTGGCTGAGTATTAACCTATGAACCAGGAGGTCGTGGTTCAGTTCCCGGTCAGGGCACGTGCCCGGGTTGCGGGTTCGATCCCCAGTGTGGGGCGTGCAGGAGGAGTCTCTCTCATCATTGATGTTTCTATCTCTCTCCCTCTTTCTTCCTCTCTGAAATCTATATATATAATTTTTTTAAGTTGTAGCACCTGGAAAATTCTAGAAGTGAGGTCAAAGAATGGAAAACTTGAACCACTTACTTCATCTCCCATTCCTCACGTTACTCTATGAAGCTGTTAGAAAAGCATTTTGCTTATTCTTAAAGGTTTTCACAGGAGTCTCCCCAAGAGTTCCACGACCCCCTGTGCATGCTTAGGGACCCCCTGTCTTCCTGTGGCAGGAGCCCTCCGTCCGAGAGTGAATTCATGAGCAAACGAGAAGGACTCCTGTTTAATTATTAAGCTAAGACAGTGTCACCTGTACTCCCTGGTTCTGCGCACGGACATTTTTTTAAAATGTGATAAAATTGACATTCAGTTAAAAACACATTCCCTGGTGCTCCTTCCCGGCAGCCTCCTCCAGCTTCCTTTGCACGGCGGCTCACGGTCCCTCTCCCGGGGGAATAAGGTGTGTTCCTGTGAACAGAGCCGTGCGGGGCTGTGGGAACGGGCCGGCAGGCAGAGCTGAGCTGACCCCCTGCCGGTCTCCGCGTAGCCAGGCCTGGGCATCGCTTTTCCTGTGTAAAATGCGCCCAGTCAACCGAGGATTGTGCACATCCGAGACACAGAGCCAGGGAGCTCCCGTGAGTGTCCGTGATTGCTGTTCTAGACGCTCTCATCGGAGCCTGACCAGCCCTGCGAGGCCACGAGGCCGCCGTCCCGTCCCAGAGGGAACAGCGGGGCTGCCGTCCGGCCGCGTGCCCCGTGCTGTGTGACGGGGGAAGGCAGCAGCTCCCGAGTAACGCTGTCCCTTTCCTCCCTCTCCCGCGTGTCCCGCAGGCTTCCGGAGCGGACGCCCTGGAGCTGAACCTGTCCTGTCCACACGGCATGGGCGAGAGGGGCATGGGCCTGGCCTGCGGGCAGGTAAGGACCCCGCAGCTGTCACCTGTCTGTCTGGGGGGAGCGGGCCCTGGTTCAGGGGCCAAGGCTGCCGCAGGCGGGTCAGACAGAGACCGCCAGGGCTGTGCTGTTCAGTGGTGCTGAGAACGTGGGGAGGGAAGGCAGCTGGGCTTGAGCAAGGGCGAGGTTACTGAGGACAGGCTCCCATCGTGGGCCTGACAGGAGGGAATCTCACACCAAACAGTTTAACAAAGCGCCGAGCCGAATCGGCTGCTTGCAGTGCAGTGTTCTGTTGGCTGTTTGCAGGCTGGCCAAGTCATGGTGGGGGTCCCCGCTGGATGAGGGTGTGGCCAGCCTGGGTGAGTGGCTGATGGCTGTTTGCAGGCTGGCCAAGCCCCCCAGTGGGGACCCCTCACCCCATGATGGTGTGGCCATCCTGGGTGAGGGGCTGATGGCTGTTTGCAGGCTGGCCACGGCCCCCAGCCAGCCAAGCTCCCAGTGGAGGCTGGCTGGAAGCAAGTATCTGAGATTTATTTATCTTCTATAATTGAAACTTTATTGCCTTGAGAGGAGGCCACAGCCGGCCAGGGCAGGCGGGAAGCTTGGCTTGCTCCATCGCAGGGGCAACCAAGCCTCCTGCTTGCTCCAGCTCCGTGGCTGTGGCCGCCATCTTGGTTGGGTTAATTTGCATATAGTCACTCTGATTGGCTGGTGGGCGTGGTCTGGGCGTAGCAGAGGTGCAGTCAATTTGCATGTTTGTCTTTTATTAGATTAGATTATAATTTTCTCCTCTTTTTTGCTTGCTTAGCACTTTTCTTGTTTGACTCTGTGCCTTGTGATTTCTGATTTCTCTTAGCATCCTCCCTGCATGTGGGGTGATAACTTGCAGGGTTGGCTCACATTGCTGACAACAAACAGCCCTCGTTTTCGGAGAGTTTATTATACACCAGGAAACGTGTTATCATTGGGGTGGGTCATGTGATTTAATTCTCAAACAGCCCTTGGGGCTGCTACTACCATTATCCATGACCGCCATTTTGGGAGATGAAGAAGCAGGAGCATTAACCCCTTTAGTGCTGGGGAGTGCGATCACGCTCCTCCTGTCTTTCGCCAAAAGTGCCGGGAGCGCGATCACGCTCCTCCTGCAGCGTCCAGTTCTAAGTCTGCTTTTATTAGTGATGATGATATTGCTAAATATGTCAATTCTTGCTGTGAAGATGACGATTTTGTGGAAGATATTGAATAATGTAACTTCATTTACTTGCGATTCATAATTTTTTTCCTAAACTGCTGTAAAATCAGCAAAAAATGCCTTGGCAATTTTAGCACAGCTCCTAGGATATTGGTTGGCACTCAAAGGGTTAAAAGGCTAGGCAGTTTGTCCGAAATCCTGCAGCCAGGAAATGGCCGGGCCAGGCCTGGGGGTCAGTGTCTGACGCAGGCTGCTCGCCTGCCCGCGGCTCCTCAGCGCCCCCGTAAAACGGCCTAAGATGACGCCTGGTCTCGTCAGTCTGCTTTTGATCTGGATGGAAGAAGAGGTGATGTCCTCACTGCATCTCCCTCCCCTAATTCTGCTGAGCACAGAATTGTATCTGCGGGGGCCGGGGGGCGGGGGGGTTGGGTACGGCGTTAACATCTGATCCAGAGCCACGTCCGTTCCCGTCTCCCTTCTGCCCGCCGACACCTGAGGCTCGTTTTTCCCGTTAGAGTCCCTCTTGTCCTGCCTCTGATGCTCGAGTCAGCGCTGTCCAAGCCCAGGCCTTTGTCGCCGTCTGTCCCAGAGAAGGCCATCTATCCCCTGCCCTTCTCACCGCCTGGACGGTCCTAGTTGCCAGAGAAAGGCCGATGTTGCCGGCCGGGGTGGACCAGCCCTCCGCGCCTCTGCTGTTCGCGCTCAGGGGCTGACAGGCGTTCTTCTCACTGCACAGCGGACGGAGGGCCTCGCTGTCCCCCACGTAGGCCGGACAGAGGCGTCTCGCAGCCCTTCCCAGGCGGTCTACTTGGCAAGAACTTCCTCTAGTTTGACACGTTTTCGTTTTCTCGTTCGCTGGAACTGGGCACAAAGGAGGGAGGCTAAGCAGTTACTGTTTATTTTGGAGACGCCGACGACCTCACATCCTTGAAAGGGTTTTGTAGGATAGTCAATAAATACTCCCCAAGAGCTTATGTTTTTATTTCGAATTACAATTCGACCACATTTAATCCCTTGTTATTGCTTTGTCAGACTTTTAATTGAATTATTCAACACATGAAACAAAAGGAAAGCATTGTAGACGGCGCACTAGTATTAGCAGAATTAGCAGGGTGCTGAGAATTATTAAAGAGGACATTATGTGTGTTAATCGGGCATTTAATTTTGCCTGTTTGTCGATGGAAAACATCCTCTTGGAAAGGATTTTCTTTTTTTCAAAAACCTTAATTGTGACAATGCCTTCTTAACATCCGTGAATATATTGCACCAGCCAGCGAGAGCTGTTTGAATCCTAATTAGTCAAAAATGATTCCTAATTTCTACTTTAACTCTAGAACAGCCAGACCACAGTGTGGCTGGTCTTTAGCACAGAGGGAAAAGCTGGCCTTCCAAACTGGCATTGAAAAACGGCCCCTGCTCATGTAATGGGGCAGGCGTAACCTTGACCTTGAAGGGTCAGTGTGAGAAAGGAAACTGTGGCTGGTTCTCATGAGCATCGATACAAAATGCCCAACTATTAACATGCTGCAGCCAGCAGGGTATGAGCATGAGCATGTGGGACGCATCACAGTAAAGCAAGGTTGGTTTAATCCCCCTCCCCTAAATTCAATTAATATGAATCATCACTTAAACAGTTAAAGGGGAAGGGGGGAATTCATATGTTCATCTTAATAGGTATAGAAAAAAATGTGTGATAAAATTCAATATCTATTCATGATTTTTAAATCTTAGAAAACTATGAATAGGAAGGAATTTTCTTAAAGTGATTAAACATGCTTGCAAACTGACTGCAGCAAATAGCAAAACTTAATGTTGAAATGTAGTGAGCATTATTGTTAAAGATCAGAGATGAAGCAGGATGGATGCCTGCTATTTGCATATCTAGTCTTCATTGTGCTGGATATACTATGGCAACTCAGCAAGAATAGAAACATACATTTAAAATAAAATGAAAGTATAAAAATAAAAAATATAAAAGGATTGGAAAAATATTATCCACATATCTTCTAGTTATCTACAAGTGACATATAAAATTATCCACTGATAAATTATTAGAATTAATAAGAGAGCTTAGGAAAATTGCTGAGAAAAATATCAACATGCAAACACCAATGTCATTTCTATGAACAAGCATTTTTAAATAACTACTGTTTGCATTAAAAATATAAATAAGATGTAATCTTACTAAAGATTTGTACAATTTTTATGTAGAAAATTAAAGCATTTTTATCAGAAGACATTTAAAAAGGATAAAATATGGAAAATATCACATTCAGGAATTAGAAATTGTAGCATAAAGATTTTTATTTTTTCCAGATTAATCACTAGGTTCATTGCAGAACTCATAAAAATTCCAGAAGAATTATATGGATAATAAAAGGGTCAAAAATAGCCAAGGCATTCAATAATAATAATAATAGAAAATACGTATATAGCATTTTTTTCTGTGCTAGCCATTGCTCTAAGCAATGGGGAGTTGGCCTTAATCACTATCAAAAATTCTTATAAGGCATCCTCTCTCTCTCCCCCTTTTTTTGGGAGGCAACTTAATTTTGAGGGGCCTTGTTTCGACAAGGCTTAAAAAAATTCTTCTAAGGCTATATAGCTCTTAAGATAATGGTTTTGGCACGGGTTTAGATATATTGTGCAAAGTTACAGAGTAGAGAACTCATAAGAAGACCCAGGCACACATGGAAACTTGATTGATTTACATGAGCTGTCCTTGCCAAAGAGTGCAAAACTGTGGAACTGTTACCTAAATGGTCCTGCCCAAAAATCAGCTGCAAGTCATTCAAGACCTTCATGTCATAGGCTTTACTACAAACATTTAAAAAACAATTTTGGCGTCCGTGTAATTGATCTCGTGATATGGAACTCTTCCTCAAACAGGCAGAAAAGGCACAAGTTTTAAAAGAAAAGAGTGATCTCAAAAGATACCATGACTAGAGTAAACAGACAAGATACAGACTGGATATCAACATTTTCCTACAGTGAGCAGGGGCATAATGTTTAACATGTCTATATAACATATGAATATAAAATAGGTAAATATATATGCAGAGAGAGACAGAGTGAGCACAAAGCAAGCATGGCGTTTTTGTTAAATAATCACATGGGTATATGTAGATAGGCCTGTGTAAACATAGGGGTGGGCAGTGGACAGAATGCTAACCATCGCCCCTCGTGGTTAGGCACTCTGGAAATTTTATTTCTTATTTGATACAGTTGTCTATCTAGGAACAATAGTTAATCCTTGTGAGTTTTTAAATATAACTATCTCAGTAAGTCAGGGTTTAAAGTATATTTTTCTGTTTGAGTGCAAGGGGTCAACCACAGGACTTGTGTGCATGCATATAAGCATAACCAGTGGACACAGACACCAGGAGGGTGAGGGCATGTGCTGGGGGTGGGGGTGGCCGGGGAGAGGTCAGTGGGGGGGAAAGGAGACATCTACTACTATATGTAATATTTCAAACAATAAAAAAATTTTAAAAAATAAAAATCCTGCACTTTACCCACAAAAAAATAAAATAAAATAATTTCACCACCGTCATCTTATTAGACTGCAGAAAACTATTCCAGGGCCTTAACTCAGGCCCAGAGGTTGGTCTGTGGATTTAAAGCATAAGCCAGGTTTAGTTGGAAATGCTGCTCCATTTCTAACATCCCTTCGAGTGTGGTTACTAGCATGTACAGGTTGACTCTCGGGCAGAGTCTCATTAATTTTTCTAGGAAATAATGATCAATAATAAATTATCCTAAACTCAGTTGCTCGGTCTAGGGTTCCTTTCTATGAAGTGGTCCAAGAATGGCTAGTTTTTATTTAAGAAGA